GTGTCTCATATGAATAGTATATTTTGGAATGTCATTATCAAAAAATGGAGTGTAAATATCATTTCCTTTTTATTTCGAGAAGAAAAAAAAAACAATTGAAGAATTGCAAAAAAAAAGTGATTAATTTATTCGTGACTATTCATCTTAATGAGGGGTACAAAAGTCGTTCAACGTTTAAAACTTTTTGAAAATTCTGCATCTAGGCATGCTGCGATGTCAATATCTTTTTCATCATAAAGGGGCTACTCTGTTTTCTTTTCACTTCCACTTTTTGATTTTTTGTTATTAAAATTCTAGAAGTTTGACTATGATGACTAATAAATAAATAAAATTTTATTTTTGATATTGGTGTAAGAGTAATTTTATTAAAATTACCTTGTAAAATATTTTCAAAATATTACTTATTTAAATAATATACTAGCTAAATTTTATTTAATTATATGACAAAACTAGTAATTTACCCGTGTGTCGCACGAAGAAATTTAAAGTATATTTCTATGAAACGCATCACCATGCGTCATTGCAACTGCAGGGACATTAGTTGCCAAATTACTACTAGGCTCTGGTATGTTGGTATGTTCCGTTTAATTTATTTTTTATGTTTATTACTCATTTTATTAAAATTATATTAGATTAAAGCATACCGGAATAGATTGAATTTGTAATAGTTTTAAATATAACTACATTCAGATGAGATGTAATCCGATCAGATCGGATTCAAACAAATCAGATCAAACTAAATCTTCAACAAACCTAATGAGGCGAACGGAACGCAGCCTAAGTATAGAGAGTGAAGTTTTAAATTTAGAGACTAAAACTTTAAATCTAGGATATGTAGATTTTATTAATGGTGTGTTTGGTAACTTAGATTTGGATGTTAAATCCAGATTTGACTCAAATCTTATGTTTGGAAACCTTAAAAATTTTGGATTAGCATTTGAGGTAAATTCTTCTAATTCATAACAAAACTCATTTTGAAATTCATACATCTCTCTTGTCATTTGAAATTCAAGAATTCAAATATTGAAATTAAAATGCAAGAATTGAAATGAAATATCAATTCCCAAACACTACCTAAAGAAATTTGAAATTGAAACAAAAATATGAGCCTTGGAAACTCAACTAAAGGTATTTAGAGATTTCTTAAATTGTGATCATTAGTGATAGACGTGAGTGGTGGATAATTTGGAATGAATGGAGTACATCAACAACGATAATGGTAATTTGTAGTGAAGATAATCAACATTTGAGAGGGATATGGAACGCCATATTATTATCTCCAAAAATTAAAACATGTCAAAATAAAAACCTATTTATGCATCACTAAATATCAAACATGGTTCTGATCAATATCCAAGGGTAGGAGAAAATTCCAACATGACATTATTTTGAACCAAACTACATGACACCACAAAAAAATGAAAGTTTAAATTGTCCTAGTAAATTATATCACGAATCGAACCATTCTGTTTTCGTAGTGGTATGAGACATAATAAAAAAATGAGAATGAGAAATTTTGAACAAAACCGTTAGTAACAAAATGTTAATTTAATCAATTCAACTAATTATACATTTACGTTTGTTATTTTTCAATATTTTTAATTCTTGTTTCTTTGGTGTGACTTCAACTTATTTAGTCATGATCTTTTAAATAACTTTAAAATTATGATTTGTCAAAAATTATTACTAGACAATACATTTGAATGTTTTTTTAAAATAAATTTTCAAACACTTAACACAACAGTATAGTTTGACATTAATATGACACGACATCAAATAGTTTTGATCATAAAACCAAACACCCTGGATTACACACACACACAAATTTGATCTCTTTATTGTGGTGTTGACATGTAGTGTACCACATGTGCATCCACATCTACATGTGCACCCATTAATGAGATGAATGCATTTTATTGGTCAATTTTATTTTTTTCTTTTAATACATTATATTGTATTACATTAAATGAATATTATTTTTAGTATTAAAAAATTACTTTAATTATATTTTGTATACAAGTTTTCATTTTTAACTATTCTATAAATATATTGTTCACTATTATAAAATATAGTCCGTATTTTAAATATGCATATTGATTGCAATGTTTATTATTAATTAAAAAAATTATTTTTGAAAAAATAAAAAAACATATCACTTCCAAAAACATTTTAATGTTTTTGGCATTATCATGTTTCAATTAATTTGATAATTTTTGCTATTGTTTTGTTTTTATTAATTATTTATTAAAAACACCTCAACTTAAAAAACAATTATTGTTATCTTATTCAATCACCAACAATTTTACTTTAAGTTTTTTACGACATACATGCACAACATGCCTTGTGCGCGTAATATAAATAAAATGAATTGAAAATGTTGATATTTTCCTTCGGGAATACAAATTTGACAAATATTTAGGGACAGAGGAAGTATTTAATAACCATTTTTATATAAACTTTAGAGTATGCGCAACGGCGAGGCATTTCCTCGCTCGCTGCACCACATCAGCATCTTGGGGTTTAATTGAAGAAGGTGAAGGGTGTGTTTGGATCAGGATGGGGTGAGGACTTTACCGGAAGAGTTAGAGGGATATGAACTGTCAATTTTACGAATGGAATACCGGAGCGCCCGGCCCCCGGGTCACACTCCATGACATTGGGCTAATAAGTAATAAACAGAAATTGGAGACAGCACCATCTACAGAGGCCGAAACTAAAAAGGTAGACCCAAATGAACAAATTCCTCAGCGTCAAAGAGAAAGGCCCAATGGGTTCCGCCGCATCATCATCATCATCATCTTCATCATCGTAACCCTAATAAAACCCTTGCGATGGCGTGTGAGCCTTTTATATATTGAACCTTCTGCAGGTGCGAAATTCTTCATCTTCTCCATTTAGCTTTCTTCTTCATCTTCTTCGTTGTGCTATAATTTCAGAATAATATATTATATATTATTTTTTTAATTTTTAAGTTTATAACTGTTTTGGCTGTGATGATCGAAACTACCTATTTAATGAGAGAGCATTTCTCCGGTGAATAATCAAACCAATGGATCCTGCTGAGCCTAGTTCTTCCCCTTCATTTTTAACTGTCGATTTCTTGTTCTGTTTTCTCTTCTGAATTGTTTGAATCGGGCCATGGAAGGGATGAGTATTGATTCGGAATTGATACATGTCGATTAAAAAAACTTTCCAGACTACAATTATCTGATCCATGGCTGTTTTGATCTCTTTCTAACTTTTTTAATTTGAATTTATCCGGTGATTTTACATTTTTTATTTGAATTTAACCATTAATTTTATTTTCTTGATTTGGATTTCAGGGGGTATTTGACTGCTTATTTGAATTACATTGGTTATTTTACTTTTTTTATATTAGAAATTCGTTGCTATTTTTACCTTTTTGATTGGAGTTTAATGGGGTTTTTAACTTCTAAGTCTATAGGTAACTCCACTTAAATTTTGTGTACCAAACAAAGTTTAAGGTTTGTATTGTACACAAAATTAGAAATAAAAATTTTATTGAATTGAATTTGATAAGATTAAATTATAATTTAATTCCAAATGTTTTGTTTGGTATAATTGATGAATTGATGTAGAATTGTATTATGATTACAGATTCTTTGTTTTAAAAACACAAAATTATTAGAAATAGAGTTGATGTAGAGCTGTATTTTGACATTTTTTGCAGTAAAGTAATTCATGAAATCCTTGTTACTGGGATGTTAAAATATAAAACCTAAAAATTAAAATATAAAATTTTAAAATTAAATTGTTAAATTTAAAAATATAATTAAAATTTTAAAAATATAAACTTAAAACTAAAAATTTTAAAAAAATAAAATTAAAATTTTAAAAATATAAACTTAGTCTTCTATTTTAGTTCTTTTATGGTTGCTTCTTCACTAATGATCCTTGTTTTTATTTTCTATCATGTTAATGGTAATTTAATGGTTAAATTTAATTTGAAGTTAATTTTTTGTTTTGACATATTTTTATATTAGTTAGTAACATAAAAATGACTATGATTGTGTATTATAATTTGATGAAAGACTTCATATTATTTGTGGAAAGATATCCATTAAAGGACAATTGGGGTAATATTTATTAATAGAAAACTGAATAGAGAAATTTCATTGTTATAAAGGATAAATTAATAATTGAAAATTGAATACAGAATTTATTTAAAGTTTAAAATATAAAGTTAAATATTAATTTTAATTTATATAGTTTTAAATTTTTCTTTTATTTGTAAGACTTTTATTGATTCAAACTTAAAAAATTTAATTTCTTTATATTTTATTTGGAAAATTTTAATTTTTTTATTTAAATATCTAATTTTGACTTTTAAATCTTAGTTTTCAATTTTTTCTTAATTTTTTAAGTATTATTTAAAATTTTGATATTAATTTTAAAATTTTTTATTTCAGTATTTTAAATTTAAAATTTCTTATTTCAGAATCTAAAATTTTAATTTTAATTTTTGTATTTAACCCTGAAATTTTATCAAGTCTGTTATCCTCATGATTTTGTCAAAAATATCCGTTTGAATGATAACGTTAGGCCAGTTGTTTGAATGTGCAACACCAAATATGGCAAATTGAAAGATATTGCAAGTCAGCAACTTTTAGGACAATTACGCCACACCCTCTGTATACAATTTACATTCTTTGCCGGTGGAGATCAATTTTGAATGTGTACCATTTTGTTTGAACAATATGTTATTTATAGATGAATATTATGATTGTATGAAATAGTTGTGTGAGAAAGAGTACTATATTTTAAAATGAGTATTACCCGGATGTGCTTATTTCTCGGTACAGGCGACTCTATCATATACCTTCTCCTATTTACCAATTATCAAGAAAAAGAAATAAAGGATATTTTTAACCTAGATAACTTTAAGTTGAAAAAAATGAATAGGGTAAAGTTGAGTTTGAAGAGAACAAGCTTGTAGTGCATGCACATGGTTTGAACAATAGTCACATTACAGATGTACGGAAACTGATTCCTTGATGGCTATAAGCTTCTACATATACAATGAGATAAACATTGATTCTATTATTAATTTTGTTTAATGCTCCGTGAATATCTGAATAAATCTAAGGGCGCACCAAAATGCGGTACCTCCTTTGTACACCAAACAAACTAAGTGTCTGTATTTGCTTAGTGCACAAATGAGTATCTATTTTGGTGTACTCCAAGCATGGCCTTAAATATATAGGAATATGTAGGTAGTTTTGTGATACTAATCATAGGAAGTTTTGCTATAGGACAACCTGTCAATTTTTTTTGTAATTTTCCAGTTTGGTCTTCAATACAGCTAAAGATATACTCCGTAAGTCAATTAGGAGGTATCATCATCATCTCCTGTGGGCATGGGACACCTGCCTAGTCGGAGCAGGAAGCAGACTTTTGCCACAACTTCACCTGTCGCCGCTTCCTCCCTGATCATTTTCTCTGCTTCTTCGGCGAGCTTCACCGCGTCCCTGCATTCATTAACTAATTAGATTAAGTATTTTAAAAAGGTGGTACAGTACGATCAAGTAGCCATTGTTACTTTAGCTTGACAACTTAAAGCAACCTGATCAAGAGTTCCTCAGGCATGGAGACTTCAACTTGAAGAATTATCTGCTGCCCTTCCAACAACACGTGGTGTGTTATCCGCTCCACCACTATTTTCTGTCAAAACAGCCCACTATTTCAAAATGGTAAATAGCACAACTCTAGAATATCGTTTCATTCCTAGTCTTTTTTTTGTACAGAGGAATCATATCCAAGAGCTCAGAGCTTTTGGGTCAATGAATATATATACTACAGGTATGTGCACCTCCGGAAATTTCGATGACAAGATTTTTGAAACAGTGTTTGCAAGCTCCGTGGGGTACTCGAAAGAGGATTTGTTGTTGTGGTTGTAGGACTCCGCTGTTTCCTCTTCGTCATGATGATGTGAATTTGAAGGGTCTGCAAATTACTTTACATATTTACTCCCATTAGTACATAGTGCAAATGATGATGATTGTTGTTACCACCTACCTATGTGAACAAAGACTTCAACAACTTCACGGTGTGCTTGCTGGAGTTCATGCTGCACATGTTCACCAACTTCATGTGCAGCACTAACACTAGAGAATGGGTCCACCTGCATTGTTAGAAAAAATAGTATACTGTCTGTAATTCAGTCCTTAGCCACCATATGGACAGTAGTACAAATGCATTAATTTAGAGTTTTCATCAGTCACCGACCTCAACATTAACATCAAGGTACAAAAATGAACCCGCTCTTCTTCCTCGAAGGTGATTACACCCCTGATAAAACAGAATAGATTTCTTTTCAGAAAAAGGCACTACCACACTTAAAAATCTTGACCATTTCTAAACAAACTTATCAAGATGATTCTCCAGTCAAATCCATCAGGTTGAGACTTGAGAGTGTGACTTAGACATAAAGTGTTGATAAAGAGGACAAAGTGCAAAATATGATAAGTAAAACATGAGTTTCATTGTTTGTAGAGAGGGATGACTTGCCTTAACCCCATTTACTTGCAATATTGTGTTTCTAAAAGGCTCCAAAACATGAGAGGGGACAGCGGCATCAACTAATTCCAGGACACTAGAAATCGAGATAACATTTAGATATTTACAATTGACATTTGCTCCACATCACATACTAGACACCTTCTAGAGAAAAGATGGAGCCACAACTAAGCATGAACGAGCTTATCAGAAAGAAATAAGAACCTCACAGCTCCTTATTAGAAGATATCATGGAGAAACAAATATATACACCTCTGGTAACCAGTTTCCAGTCCTGCTTTAAGGATCATACCTGCAACAACAAGTCCAGCAAGAGGATCCAAGAACCTTGCCCCAAGAAAAGATCCACCTGATATCAGACCAACAGCTTACATGCTATTTGTAAAGTCAGATATCATGAAAAAACACCGAGAAGGTTCATGTTCAAATGGTTTAAAGACACGCCCATTTGGTGAACTCTTTTTACAGCTTATATTATTCACCAAAACTCTAATAATATTAATGTGCTTAATTGGCTTATTATGAAAGTATGATGATCTTATGGACATTACGATTCAACTCAGTTGAATGGCCATGTTTATCCTTTACACAGTATAATTGTTAGAAAACCCTAATTAGAAAAATATGTCATTTCATAAAACTTTACATTTTTCATATTAGCACGACAATTATAGTCTGCAAGTCCATTTGTCTTTCTCTCAATGCAACAAGAAGAATCAAATAACCCACTAAATATTAATGCTACAGCTAGGTAGCAATAAGAAGATAAAGGTTCTTACCAACTCCTACGAGAGCAACCAAAGAAGAAACAGAATCAGCACGGTGATGCCATGCATTAGCTTTCATTAGTCCGCTTCCTGTCTTCTCCCCAGCTCTCTTCGTTATCCGGTACAATCTACATAAAAGAGAGAACATCAAAGCAGCATATATGGGTAACAGCAGCATAAAATGATAGCATAAAGAAGTGTTTCTATTCAATGGCAGTACATAAAAATTAGTCATACTTTGCATCAAATTAAGTTTACCCCTTGTGCATTACACGTTTCAAGCATAAACTGAGTTCATACGTCTCTTGAAGTAATAGCATCACTCGAGAAGTGTAATATTCACCAGTTCTAAGGATAAAATAAAACTAACCAAACACAAGAAACGCTAAAGTATTTGGTCCTCACACTAGTCTCCTTGTGTGGTTGATGATTAAAATGAAGCATACCCTTCTTTAACAGCTATAGACAGTACAGTCATATTTAAAGCAAGAACAGGGTGATCCATATCAATTTCATGATGATGTCCTAGTCCACCATGATGACCATGAGCTAGTGACTGGCTAACCACTTCAGGCACTGCTGACCACAATCCCTATCGCAAGATATGGAAAGTGAAAAAAAGAACTCAAATAACATACTAATATATGTGGAGAAAATACACTAGCCACTAAATAGGAGTCATTCAATCCTACAAGAAAACAAAAACATTGGACCGCTGGTCATATTAGGGAAACTGTGTTATGTTTCAACCCTTTTTAAAGAATTTTCCCTAGGCCTTTTTGGGGGTACCAGTAATATGAATTCTGTTTCAGATAAGGTAGATACATATCTTTAACAAATTTACAAAATACAACAAACACCAAAACAACAAAATAAGCTAGCACATACCATCAACACATCTAAAGCATGCCATGCTATACCTCCCCCAGTAGCCAATAGCATACCTGAAATTCCAAGGGCACCTAGAGTCTCAAATTTACCATGCCCTGAAACAAAGAACCCAACTATAAAAGTCGAGAACAACAATCCTGAAAATAACAATTAAAACTTAATCACCATGAAGTCTAACTATTGGCAAGTGAGAAACATTTTCCTATCACACCATCCACCTGGTAGAAAAACCAGTGGAAGGAAGAAAGAATGAAAAGTGAGGCTCTTGATTTCTTGAAAGTCCGAATGTTGATAAAACACCTAATGAGCATTGGCAGCTCAAGCTAAACAATAAACACTCTCTTTCAGGCTCAATTAATGCCCCCTCCCCTCCCACGATACTAATTCCTAAATAAACTTATAATTTCCTCATTTGGTAACATTAAGCTTTACAACGTTAGTATTCCAATGTATTAATAATAAATAAAAACTCAGACACCATCTTCAGGTTCATACTAAACCAATTTATGTGATCTCCTACACATCATCAAAGCAAAATGATAGAAAAAATCGGTTTCATCAATATTAGTATGAGCAATCATCAAAGCAAAAGAATAGAAAAAATCTGTTTCATCAATATTAGTATGAGCAATGTAGAAACATAGAGTAAAGCGTAGGTACAGATCAAAAGTGACCATATGGGTGTTCTTTGTCCTTGGGAGCCTTCGCAGCTTTATACGACAGCAATGCCACCCCGCTCAGAACCTAGCACAAAGACCCATTAGTCTCAAAACACAAACAAATTACACATCCCGCAAACGCCGCTAGCTGCATACGGAGTATAATTCGAATTGGCATGAGACCTCACCACATCGGAGATGGAATGAGCAGCGTCGGCAATGATCGCGGTGCTTCCACAGACGTAACCGGTGAAAGCTTTGCCGGCCGCCAAGCCGACGTCGGCCGCAAGGCCGAGACGGAAGATCTTCTCGCCTTCATTTCCCTGATGATCGCGGTGCGGATGACAGTGAGCGCCGCCCATATGCCATCTCTTCTGAATTAAAAAGCTAGGGATTTCGCCGGAAGAACGGCCGGCCAGCTGCGGATTCAGAGCTTGAATCACTGGGACGAAGAGGCGGTAATTTTTGGCGTTAGTTCTACGCATAGCTGAAATCAAACCTGTCGTCCCCATTTTTCTGCCCTCTGAGATTCCTTCCTCCCGAAGAAACGAAATGCATTAATTTGTAGTAGTAACCAGATGCTAGAGGCAGTCCGTACTCCGGAGCTGAGACCTTGCCAAGATTTAGGCCTACTTTGGCATCAGCGTCAGATATTAGCGTTAGCGTTTTGAAAAAGTTATCCGACGGTAGCCTTTAGCGTTAGCGTTTTCAGAATTAATCTGCACCGTTAAAATTTTATCCAAAACGCTAACGTTAATCGAAAATGCTGTTACCAAACAAAGCCTTAATCAAATTCTTTGCACGATTTTTGACTTGTAAGGTGACTTTTTATATTTTAAAGGAAAAATTATCTAAAATAATCCCAACTTTACCCGGTTTTTCAAAAATAATCTCACCTTTTACTGTGATGCATAATAATCCCAACTATATTGAAATTCGCCAGCTTTGGGCCACCGTTAAATTTCTAACGGAGGGTTAACGGAAATGCCCGTTTTAGGCAACAAAATGAAAGTTGGGATTATTTTTGATTAATTTTTGTTTTATAATTTTTTTTGAAATTTTTATTTAAATTTTTTGAATTACTTTCAACCTCCATTTCTTTTTCTTTTTAAAGATTATTCTTACCTTAGAAAAAAATAGATATAAAAAATAATGAAAATGAGAAAAATAACTTAAACCATACAAAATTAATCAAATAAATAATGTAATCAATAGAAATTAAACAGAAACTGGTAAGAAATAAAATAAATATATACAGAGTGGTGAGTTTTAACATTTTACACACTATACGGAGTCTTAATGTACTACTTATTTTTTAAAAGAACAAGCCGTCCGGTAAAGTTGGAATTATTGTAGATAATTTTTTCTAAAAAATAAGAAGTGATATGTTAATACTTTGTATAATGCGTAAAATATTAAAACCCACCCTTATATTTTTATTTTACTTTTACCAATTTCAAGTTACTTTCCATTGATTACCTTATTTATTTTATTATTTTTGTATCATTTCTCATTTTTTCATTTTTAGTAAAATTTTTGTATTATTTTAGTTACATTTCTCATTTTTTCATTTTTTATATCTATTATTTTTATTTTTTTAAACTAAGACTAATCTTTAAAAAAGGAAAAAGAAATGATGATGGATGTAGAAAGTAATTTAAAAAATTTAAATGAAAAAAATAAAAAAAATGAAAATTCATCAAAAATAATCCCAACTTTCATTTTGTTGCCTAAAACGGGCATTTCCGTTAACCCTCCGTTAGAAACTTAACGGCGACCCAAAACTGGCAAATTTTACTAAAGTTGGGATTATTATGCATCATAGTGAAAGGTTGGATTATTCTGGAAAGACCGGGTAAAGTTGGGATTATTTTAGGTAATTTTTCCAATTTTAAAATGTAGCATAAATTTAATACTCCGAATTATAATTTTAAAATATAATTTTGAAATATTAAACTTTCAAAATAGGTATATTTATATACTCCAAAAGTACATTCTATCTTGAGATTTAGAGTTTCTTTATTTTGAGAAATTTAAGGATTTTATTTAAATTTAACAAAATAAAGATTATGACCTAAAGTATATTTTGACCTAACTGTCAAATAGATGGAATGTACACGCAAAGTACATTACTACTAATTTTAAAGACATTATAAGTATATTTCAGATAATGTAAGACTTGAAAGTGCTTCTAAGAAAAGTGGAAGTACTCCAAAATACAAAAAGAAGTTGATGATATTCCAAAGTACTTTTTTGCATTGGGAAAAAAAGGATCACGGAGTATTATATGCTCCGTACTCCCTCCGTCCCTAAATATATCTTACATTTACTTTTTTAGCAGTCGCGAGAACTTTTGTTTATTTCTACATTTTCATTGGTAATTTGATAAAATAAAATATTCTTCATACCTCTTATTTTGAAAAACTTTTCATGTAGCTTTTTGATATGTAAATTTTATTTTTTATTTCTATACTAATATGTAAATAAAATGAATTGAAAGACTTAATATTTCACCTCAGGTAATAGAAATGTGAGATATATTTAAGAACGGAAGGAGTATTATATTGCTTGGATCAAGTGCTGTTTCTAATCTTACAATTTAGGGAAAAAAATTGTGTTTACCGATCGATCCATTATAGAGAAAAATTCTATACCGAGTTACATTTATTATGTACAAGTTAAATATGCACCATTTGAAAAAGTATCCAGAAAAAAAAATATTTTTGACAAAGCAGAAGAATACACGTAGTTCACATACATACACAATGGGGGAGCAGTGTTCTAATATTTCTATAATCACTCTGGGATTTTCCCACCCTTCTTTTTTCTACAACCACAGCTGGGGATTAAATTATGGAGGAATGTGACAATATTAAAAAAAATTGACATAAAAACAATATATAGCTACAGAAATTTACAGACCATTAGAAAAATTGCCAGAAATGGAGTTCTACTGTGTTTTTTTAAAAAAAAGCTTGTCATCATCTTCTCTGGTGGTCAGACCATCTCTTGTTCACACTCCAGTTAGGATCATGGTGATAAGCCGACGACGATGATGTCATCGTCTCCGGTGGAGGAGAGTGGTTGTAATAATAATATTGGTTGTTGTGATTAGTAATACCGGGACTGTTATTATCTGGACTACTAAACGACGGCTCCAAGTTGCCGGGACGACCGACATGCTGATCATTTCTTCTCCGGTTAGAAGCAGCTCCGGTGGCGTTGTTATAGTAGTAGTTATTTGAATTAGTATGCGGTGGTGGGGCCTGCACGGCTCCTCCCTGCCAACCACTTTGCGGTGGTGGGTGAGCGTGGAACTGGTGGTGGGATGGTGTTTCTTGCGGCGGCAGCAGCGGTGGATTGAGAAAGATGCCGCCGTTGTTGTTGTGATGAGGTGGTGGTTGGTGGTGGAGATGAAGAAGACTACCGGTCCCGCCAGTTGGTTGCAGCAGCAATGCTGCCGCTGCTGCTTCCTGTTGTGAGGCGTATGCCATGGCGGCTGCAGTGGCTGCTCCGCCACCTCTCCTCGAGAATGGATTTTTATCATAGTCATCTACCTTCACTCCGCTCTGCAGTGGAAACAGAAGACACTTGAATCAACAGAGGGTAAAAAAAACATTTACATACATTTCTTTTAGCTACATTTATAATTATGAGTTTTTCTTTCTGGTTCCATATTATTATTCATTGATTGCGTAGTAATCACTGCAAAATACCAAGAGCCCATTTGTTAAGGGTGGATTTTGGTTGTAGCTGCCAAATAATAAGACCTAAAATGTCACATTCTTTCACTTTAAGCCGATCCCAATAACATCTTATTGTTTAGTAGAAAATCTGGTGGTTTAAAAAAGAAAACTCTACCAAACGAGCAGTTCACATTTATTTCACAAAAGAAAAGCTTCTCCCAACCCTTGGCGCAGTGAAATAAGGTGGCGTTTGGTTGAAAATGCGACTGATAACCAGAAAAAAAAAACATTTTACCAAACAGGCATTTAATCATTTCTTTTCCTTTGGTCCTATATGAAGATAATGATTTTCACATGTCACACTTGGCATATCTCAGAGAGGAGGGAAAGAAAACTGGGAACATCTTAGGAGTAGTAATAATGAATATCCTTTCCAAAAGTTGTACAAAAAAGAAAAAGAAAAAAAAACGGTTAAATGACGCACCGTTCCAGGATTGCTGGAAGGAGTTGGGGATGGAAGACAAACTTCGACTTTACACTCGGCTCTACTTTGGTCCAACCCGGTAGGACCGCTCATCGACATCAGTCCGTTTGCCTTAATCATATCAAGCAGCTTCACAGTCTCTTCGCTTGACAGGTTACCGGCTTGGCCAGATGTCAGTGCGAAAACCAATTCTGGGTTTTTAAGGAGCACAGCTAGCAGCTCTAGATCTGGCTCAGCCATGTTATCAGCAGTGTTATTCACATTATGTGAGTGCACATTGCTGACATCATCACGTGCCACATCTTCAGTACTGTTTCCATCTGGTAACTGTTCTGTTGGGATTTGGGGGGTTAGAGTGTCATCATAGTCCATTTCTTGGTCCCAAGGTTCCTTGGGATTCAAAGGAATTTCACGAAGTGTCCTGTAAATAGTCTCCTTTTCGCGGTGAATTCTATTCTTCTGATTTTCTACCTCTTGACTATTTTCTCCGGCACATAACTTCCATCTTTCTGGAATCACCATCTCTGCAGGGAAGAGAACATAGTTGTTGGACATGCTCAAAGACAATAAACACAACACCAGGCATTGATATTTGCCTCGAGCCCGAGCACCACATGTTCAAACTCGGCTCATTTCAGGCTCGAGCTCGAACCTTGTAGAGCCGAGTGGAGCTCACGAACCACATGTAAGTAGGTAAAATTCAACAACCCAGTATAATCCTAGGGTCTGGGGGTCAAGATGTACACAGCTTACCCCTCTGAAATAAAGAGACTATTTCTGTTAGACCCTTAAACTTCACTGAAAGTAAGAAGCGAAGGAAGTTTAATGTGTCATTTTGATTAAGTTCATTATTTACTTGAAGCTATAACATTGTCAATTACGACTACTTTTACAGTGGACATGAATACATGGGTAACATTTATTGGAGTGAAATGATATTTATGTCTTAATGAGAAGTCCAAGTTGAATTTTCAAACAGAGCCCGACTCCTTTATGAACCGAGTGCGAAATTAAGCTCAAGCTCGACCTGTTCCCTTAAATAATCAGATAAATAATCTAGAGAACAAAAAAATCAACAACCAATCAAGAAGAATGATAATGCACCTGGTGGAGTGTACCAAGGAATCTGAATTCGCTTGCACTTTTTCCACAGGGGTTCTTCAGCATCATCCCTCTTTTCATTTACACGGGCCTCCTGCTGTTTTGATCTATTGGAATCAAGACCATCAGTATTTTTATGTCTATCAATTGTTTTCTTCACATCAATTGCTGGCTTCTCTTCATCAGTAGTTGGCTTTCCATCACTAACATTTGACTTGCCGTCATTAATGTTTGGCAGGTCATGAGTTCTAATAGTCGAATGAAAACTGCCATCTAGAGGAGAAGCATTTTTATTTGGACCGTCAGGTTTTGGCTGAAGGCTGTGATCAAAGGATGTTTTACCTTTCCCATATTTACTCTGCAAAAGTTGTGCACGTAGTTTAGCTTTTTGAATATCATCAGCTGAAAGTGGGCGGCCTTGGGTTGCAGAAGAAGTTTTTGTAACTTGGGGTTTTCTTCCTGCCATTCTTTGCCCGGGTTGTTCAACCAACTGAACCTTTCTGCGTTCTAGATTTTCTGCTGTCAGTTAAGGCATTTAACAGTTTTTCTTATCAACAGCTCTAGCGAGGACCCAACACAGATTCCCACCACAATCCTCTGTGTAGACAATTCTCAGACAATATGGATATACATACTGATCCATCACAGAAACATTCATGAAAGCCATATCCTAATTAGATTTCTTACCAAAATGGACTTGAAGTATTATTCTACATGCAAAGAAACAGTCAAAGTACACCTTTGCATTAGACGAGAATCATCTTAGCATACATGTGTACAACAGCAAACACATATCATGCAGCCGTAAGCCATCAGATGAATCATTGAAAGCTTAAAAAAAGATTTGCAAAGCCGACCATGAAAATGCTTGTCCACAAGTTTTAGTTTCACGACAAACAGTGTCAATTTTCAACGAAATGCAATGAACCCGTTATTATAATGATCCACTGCACACCACTTCATGCTTCTTAGAGCATCTTTAAAGCAAAATTCTTAAGGAGTTGCATAACTTTAAAAGGTTGATGTGGAACTCGTATGGAGCTTATGTGAAGCACATGTGGAGCATCAATTGCTTAGGGAAGCAACTGCACCAAAGCTATGAACTACCCCTAATCAACCCCACTAAAGATGCTCTTACACCAGTTCAACATATAAAACACCCCAAACTTATAAAGGGAAAGACATTCACGTTCAGCTTGTTATATATATGTATCACATGCCTTTTAAGCACATACTACCTCCGTCCCGCTATATTCGTCCAGTTTTGACTTTTGGAACTGTTCATCTAAGCACTTTGACTCATCAAATTCTCTCAATGTGTAAGTCTAAATATAGTCATGTGTGATCTTGTTTGATTTGTCTTAACATATAGATTATTAATATATAATTTCTATAATTTTTTAATATACAAATTACAAGATAAAATGAATTAAAGAAGTGCATTGGATGGTGTGCAAAAATGAAAGTGGACAAATATAGTGGGACGGAGGGAGTATATGCATATGACACTACTGTAGAGAGGTACTCAAAGGGTTGAATTTGAATACTTAATAGAGAAGTCATCAGGCTAGCAAATACAAAGCTTATTTACCTGCCTAATTTTCAATCACGTGTGGCTTCCAATCTTTTACGGAGTATTAAATAATTGTTTCCTTTAACTATATTTTTTTGTAGACACTAGACAGACAACACAAGATATATTCTACCTTACAGGCAGCAGGAAGCTAGTGAATGGTAGCAGCAGGGAGATGATTCGATCCATCTATACTCAAATATAGAACCAGTTTGTTTGTTTACCCACAAAAAATTGAATAGGGTGGAGGGAGAATATGATTGTTTTAACATGTGAATCCTTCATGTACTTTTGATGATTTTGTTTTTTGATAGCCACTTTTGATGATTATTGATTAGATAGAAATCATACAATCATTATTTGGTAATTACTCCATATTTACTAAATATTGCATTATAAGATATATGTAAAAGTTAACCAAGTATACCTTTTTCTCCTGAACTTATTTTCATCAAAATCGAGTAATAAGTTTAATTATATATTCTAAATTCAAAAAGGCAGTCCGGTGCACAAAGCATTCCTGCCTAGCGAGGGTCAGGAAAAAGGCTCCCACCACGAGGGAGCAATGTAGGCAAGCCTTACCCTTCTGCAGTTTGGCAAAATGTTGCTTCCAGGAATTGAACCCGTGACCTTAACTCCTTTAGGTTAAAAACCCATGAACTCAAGGTTACACGGAAATACCTCAACATGAATACCTCAACATGTGCACCAAGACTCCCCTTCTATAGCTAGGATCAAGTTTATCGCACCTACCATTGTATTACACTTGAGCAAACCGTCTACTCCATTGCATATTTGCTTTTATCATGTAGTTTGGGATACTACTTTTTCACCCTAAAGAATAAAGCATATATAAATTCTACATTAATCCATCACCCCTTATCTCTGAAAATAAACAAGCCCGGAATAGATTCGTTCATCTAATTCCAAGATGCGTGAATTGGAGAATGAGGATGATAACTGTCACATTCAGCAGGCATGAAGGCACATAACTCCAACACTTTTTCCAATCCCCAAGAAATTCTAGAAATTCCCTAGGACACTTTTAGGACATAAAACATTCCCTTGCCAAAACAACAAAAGTTCAAGGTAATGAAAGTTTTGACAACAATCCAAGCCCGCGAAAGGACAAACAGAGATGGCAATTAAAATATGAGCCAGATAATAGCAACTTCGTCGTGAAAGGACAAAACATTTTAGGTGAGCCTGTGAATGATGAATTAAACGATTTGCAGTTGGGGATGAGTTTGTCTGCCTCCCACCTCTAATTTTTTTTATTATGTTCATTCTACTTATTGTCTGATTATGCCATTATTGGCAAGAAAGTATGTGCCTCTGAATTAACACTTGATTATATTGACCAAGGATACGAGCTGGTGAAACACTTATTCCGGTCCTTCTGTTAGATTCGTCTACAGATGTGAGCAACTTCAATGGCTGAGTAGATCCCAGCTTCCTGGAAAAATTAAGAGCTTAAAAAAACCCCAACTGAATAGGGATAAGCATGCAAGTCAGAACATATAAAATGCAGCAAAAACCTCAAGTTCTCTGAAGTTTCAAACTGTGCAAGAGACTCTTCCTACATAAAAAGAAGGAAAGGATTACCACAGATCAAATTGANCCCCCCCCCCCCCCCCCAAACAAAGAAAGTTGTAATGAACTTACAAAGCCATCAACTTCAGCCATGACCTCACCAATGCTGCATAAAGTGAAAAACATTTGTGAACAATTAGTAGAAGTGCACGAAAGGCAAGCAGCTCAGACAAAGTGAGCATACCTTCGCTTCAAAAGGATCTCATCCTGTGCTTCAGCTACTGATTTCAACCCAATAGGTTTTTTAGAAGACTGGCTTGCTAATTTCTTGCTCCATCTAAAGAGAAGAAACCTTGCCCTGTTTGAGATATCTGACCCTCAAATCAGAAAAATGAGATCCAGAATACTAGAGAGCTAGAACAAATCCTTCCTTGAAGGCCCATAAGAAAAGAGATTTACAACAAAAGACTACTCATAAGACATGTACTGAAGAGCATTTCACAATCAAGTAGGTAAGCAACGGTATATGATACACATATGTACCTCAACTAACCCTTCAAACAAAGACATGAATTTTGGAATGCCACTCTAAAAATCATTATCATTTCCCTTCAATATGGAATGCATTTTAGTCTTTTTTCTCAATTATCACAGCTCTGATTCCCAATATTGTAATAAAGTCTCAATACTTCCCCAATCCCAAATTAACATCCCCCTTTCCTTTTCTGATTGTCCCAAAATCAACTTTCCATTTCTTTCTATAGTATGCACCTTTTACTCCTAAATAAAACAACAATCTTGCTTTCAACAACCTACATATTTATTACCTTTCACTACACTTTTTCCAAACCTAAAAAAGTAGGAGTGAACATTTAAACAAGTTTCTTTTCACTCTTAATCTATGTGTCATTTTTACATGGGAACATAATTTTGGGACAAAGGGTGTATTACTGAACGTAAGTGGGAAGGTACATTCCAAATTTGTTAGCTTTTCAAGTGAAAGATGATCTATCAGTTTTAATTGCTAATATCAACCTATTTGTGAAGGACAAAAAAATTGGCACAATGAAGCAACAATTTGCAATAGCATCGCACCTGATATCCTATAAAACCTAAGTTTATTAACACTCTGCAGGATAGCCGACATGTGTGCCGGAAGTGCTTGGTGCAGAGGCAGGTGGCAGAGTACCTAAGAAAAAACAGTTACAAAGTGGTTAACTCCTACCCATGATCCATCGATTAGGCATCATTCATTTAAGTATAAAAGATGTAAGGGACTTTATACAAACCTTAAGAATGGAATGAAGAACGCTAGTCTGCTCTTCTGTTGCCGCTTGACTCAACCAAGTTGCCAAGATCATTACGCCGCCTTTACTTAAAAACCTGGAAATAAATATAGACAAAATATTGGCTAAAAATACACATCATTACATCAAAAAGTTAAGAATTTGATCAAATTTAAGTCACAAGTACCATAGAAGGACTGAAGGGTTCTGTATTTCCATTATCCAATCCATCAATTTAACTTGCCCCGAGAATGTATCTTCATTCCTCATTAAAATAAATATATTTTCAATGAAATCTTTGTCAGACTCCTGTACTCCTGATGGAACTTCATCTTCTGTTGAACATGATGGCCCTTCCACATTTAAAGGAACCACGCTGTCTAAGGGAGCGGGATCAACTGGTAAACTGGCATCTGATCTTAAAGATACCTCCTCACAGGGTTCATTAGATGCAATACACTTCTTAGCCTTCTCTCTAGAAATCCCAACTAATTTTCTCACTCTTGCTCGCTGGGTGTTAAAAAAATCCCGAACCTATAGACAGTAATATAACAACATATGAGACCAATCAGTATGTGCTAATATCCACAAAAATGGAAATGCACACCTAGTTTAGAATAGTAAGCTAACAATATCACAAACACTACAACAAACCATTGTAGTATGAAAAACAGAAATGATAAATGTAACAAAAGGATGTCATGCTACAGAACACGTAATGAAATAGGAAAGATGATCGCATAGCAGAAAATATAGAATCAGTTGGATAGACCAATGAAACTCAATGCCAGTGCAAACACACAAATTTCATTTAACTTTGTAATACAATCCAAGGGAAGGAGCCTTGGTGTATGCTTTTTGCATACCCCTAGTTGACAAAACGCCTGAAGGAGTCAATTAAAGATTGGAGGTGTGGAAGCGAACCTTGAAGTCTAAGTTTGAAAATGTGCAGGACTGAGACGGAGTCCATGGAGTGCACTTCGAGCGAGGGGACAAGTGGGAGGACAACTGAGTCAGAAGTGAAGGTGAAGATTGATTTGGAACCCTTAGACAGACAGTGAGGTTGATGAAGATAATGTTTATCAAATCAGAGGGGCTGCGAGAAATGGAGGGTCACTTCAAGAGTATTCCAACAAAACTGAAAGGCAAGATCTACACAAGTTTAGATAGTTTAAGTGGTGGAGATGAAGATGACAAGGTAGATGTGCAGTCACACTAGGATTAATAGAGTTTGGAACAAGGTTATATGCGGCAAGCTGAGAGTGGCATGTGTGGAGGATAAGATGTGCCAAGCTAAATTGATATGTTTTGCATACCTGATGAGGATTGAGGAGTACCTATGCTCCAGTGAAGAGGTGCATGGCGCTGAGGTAGACTCAAAAGAGTTGGGGTGAAGTGAATAAACATGACCTACGTCTTAAAGGGAGCTCACCGAGGACATGATCCTAGATTGGAGCATTTGGTAATCGGGAATTATAGGGTTTAGCGGTGGTTATCATTGTGTGTAGGCCTGTAGGGCTATTAAGTTTAGTAGATGTAGTTAGAGATTTGTGTGGTTTATCTTTATTTGCTTTGTGAAATTTTAATGGGTTGGTTGTTTTTGTTGTATGTAGTTTCCAAATTTGGCCTAGGCAAAATATCTCAGTATATCACCAAACTACTTGTCTTAGGGATTTAAACACGTCTAGAAAAAGATGAGAGAGACCTGTGTGACTGTAACTCCAAAGAGGGAACTAATTTCACGAGTTTCTTTCTTGCCTATTACATCCTTGATTGAGAAGACAGATTGCATGTATTTTATAGCCTTGGGATTCAGCAGGTCCCTGGGTCTTTTCCCTATCAAAAAATGAAAATGGTAAATAAATCGGTACAGGGAAAAAAAACCAGATTAGGTATCTAAAGTAAGCAAAATCCAGGGAATCAGTCCCGAAATTAACTTCTAACTTTTTCTTGGTTGTCCGAAAATAAACTTCATAATTCCCTCTTTTCCTATTAAGGAATGAATGAATATATGTGGCTCACAATCTTTCTCTTTCCTCTAAACAAACTCCGGACAGATACTTTTTACTTATAAGAATATCAGGAAAGTTATCAGTGGCTGCCTAAACAAATTCAGGTGACGTCCATCAACATTGAATCACAACTTAAAATAATTAAATCAATAGATAAGTAGCTTACCGATTTTTATTGACAAAGCTCCAGCAGCCTGCAAAGAAAATGATCGAAAACTATCAGCTTAATGAAATTTCCTCAAGCCATCCCCATTGCAGATAAAGGCTTCTATAACGACTATAAGATAATAATACAGTACCTTCCACCTTTAAGGTGGGAGCTACTATTTTGCTAAACAGAGATTTCACTCTGATAGTGGCAGAAACTCGATGAAGTTCACAACCATGATCATATTTTTTTCTTCAAATGGAGTGTCTTGAAAGGAATGTGCTCCGCAACTCAATCTAGGGGAGTTTAGTGCAACAACTAATTCAACATTTGCAACTACAAACCCAACTCTGTCCTAACTTTTCTATGATTTCTTCAACCAAGTATAAAGAAATGACCAATAAAGCTAGTAAATAACCATTGACCTAAAATGATAGCTCAGGTAAGCACCAACCATTTCTTGAGACAGCGGGTTGATTCCAGTGAGTTTGCATTGATTGATGACAATGTTCTCCAGGTGATCAATTTGGCTGCGGAAGAGCTCCCTCTGCGAGGCCAGCAAGTCGTGAAACGACGTCGCAGGGCTGGACATCGCCAGTTGCAATTGATTATCCATGGCTTCAATCCCGCAGTCCAATATCCCGAATCAAACCCATAGATCGAAGCAATTCATGAGACTCCCCGTCTGCAGAGGCGTAATTCTTGATTCAATTCAGGTTCAGGGGATCGGCGAGTGGACGAAACTAGGGTTTTTAACAACCCAGATGCCGATGAAGAGAAGGAGAAGTGAGGCGAGTTGCGGGTGGCTCAATGCAGCAGAATCACAGACAGGAGGCGGCGAAAGAGATCGACGATTGCGGGAAAGCAGCACCGGCGCGCCGCCTTGGAGCGATTAGCTGACCGGGTTAAATTGTTGGCGTTGGACCCGTTAAGAATGGCTTCGTAGGCGAATTCCAGATTTTTTTTTTGAAAACAAGAATTCCAGAATTTATTACTGTAATTCTAAACAGTTAGGTAGGTAATTAGAGTTGTGAAATTTTGTTGGGAACCATTTTTTATGATTGATTTTTTTGTTTTAAAATCGCATATTAATTTTTTTAAAAACAATCACATTTATGTAAATTTTTTTAGTTTTTATTTAAAATTATTTAAAAATCACATTTAGAACATGTTTGGAAAAGACGTTTTGGGTTGGAAACGCTAATCCTTGTAAACTGGGTGTTTGTTTTGCGTTAAAAGGGGAGCTGCGTTTTCAGTTATCTCCTCTATTTTTTTCAAAAACTAATGTTTAAAGCGATTTTTTTTAAAAAAATTACATAGAGTATCTTTTAGCAGAGTATATTTTTAAGAAAATTATCTTTAAAAAAACAATACTTTGGCTCTGTTTTTTGAGTTGAAAAAATTAACATCCAACTTTTTCGAATTCTTCCCAAATTCTTTCAACTTCTTCTTAGACCTTCCAATTTTTTTCAGTTTCTTTCAATAACGTCTTTAAAATGTATTTATGTACGATAAATATGGAATAATATTAAACATCTAGATTTATAACATATCACACCAGACACAGACAATGATGAATTCTTTTTTATCTAAAATTAAAATTTTCTTACACATGTATTTAGACGATCATTTAATTGAATGACTTTTTAATACATAAATTGTTCCAACATTTTCCGACTACTTTCAAATTCTTCCAACTTCTTCAATTCTAGTTTCTTCCAATATTCAACTCTAAAATCCTAACAAAAAAGATTAAAGGTGGTTTTAAATATTTAATCAAACTTCAACCATTGATTTCTTTTCAAGTATAAAGTCAAAAAATATGCTATTATACTCTAATGTTATTTTAATTAAAAAAATAATTACTTTATAAGGTGATTTTTGTAAAATGTACAACTCAAAGGTGGTTTTATTATTTAAAAGAATTATTTTAAGAGATGGTTTCTTAAAAAGGTGGTTTTACAAAAAAAAGAGCCTAAATGGCCACCCATGTACAATTGAATATGCAATAATCCTCTAATAGCAGATTTTACACACCATACAAATCTCATCTTTCTTTGCAAAACACAATCCTACCATCAGTTTAACCAAAAATGCATTTGAAACAATATAGGAATGCATTAGATTTCACACCATCAACTTCAAGACCCTGGTGCAGGCTCTGAAGCTCCAGTCTTTGCCACTAATCTGCGATCAAAATCCAATTTACCTACTGGTCAGGTCCCAAGGGGTCTTCGGAGATGGGTCCCATCCTATTTTCAAGACCCAGCAATGTCAATGCCAACAACATTATACTTATCCTCCCAAGTAAGGGGATTATCCCATTCCAAGTGAATATCTAAACTGCTAATGACAAGTCTGCACCCTACAACATTCTTGCCAAAAATGACAATGGAACAGTTCTCGTAAACACCTTCCCTTGGTGGAAGATTCAACAATCGCGACTTTGGGGCAGAGAGAGTGTGCCTTTTATTATCATCACTCATAAAAAACCTTTCTTGGTCTCCGACTGTAAGGAAAAGCCGATGGTGACGACCCAAGAGCTGTGATACATAGTTCATGTCTCCCTTGGAAAGGGCATAACGGACACGGGTGGAAGATACCTGACCCACCTCGTTTGGATAGCACGGGTTCAAGTGTTCTGGATCTTGGTTCTTGTCCATGACCGAATTGATTATACAAGCTTTGACGCCGTATTCATTACACAGCCTTACCAGGTCTGACGCATCGCCCGAAGCCTTATATCCAAACCGGTAGTTTTCACCTGCATCAGAACCACAAATTCATCTCATAGTCTCCTCGCTTTGATTCAGAATACCTATTGTTTTAGGATTGTACACATGGGATTTAGGAATGGGGACTAAATGACAACATTAGCCTTGCCAAACTGTTTGTTTTTTTATTGGAAATTGAAAAAACAGTGACAAATTCCATCATAAATTCATGCAACAATCTATATGGTTAATTAAGTTTAAACAATAAATTCTATGGCCATCATCATCATCATTGGTTATTTCCATATGAATGGAATATCATGAGATGGCTATAATTTGACATATTTGCAGTTGTCATATCCCCATAAAGCGATTGATATTACAAGACAAACTTGCAAATAAAAAAACATAACCAAAACAGTGACAAAATATACTCCATATTCGGTAATCCACTAGAGGAAAAACATAGTGAAATTACTAGGTTGCCCTCCCATATTCATTTCCAGTTTTCCCACTTTTATTAATGCCTAGATATCAATAAGGGGGTATCTTGGTCAAGGATATGGACAATTAGCTGTATCTAGGTTGCAATTCATTGAAAGTTCCTTTAGAGCGGGGGGAGTACATGAATGAATATGAATGACAAAAATACTCCATATAAAGTTAATGATAAGAAAGAAAATTATTTTCTAAATGTAAAAAAAGTATTTTGACTTCCTTTTGTTAAAATGACATATGTCGTGGGTCGGACACATAGAAGAGTGCAATACTTACACACGTGCAACATTTTCCTGCAACGTACCTGCTACCACACCATGCACTCCAAGTTCTTTTGACAACTTCTCAACAAAGTGACGAGGAGTGAAGTATCTAACTTTTGAAAATTCAATTTGGAATTCTCTAGGAATCTTTTCACCACAACACGAAGCCCAAGATGAGAGAACTCTTTTGCGGTCACATTTGGCAACAATGGGAACCCTGTAAATATTCATTTACACAATATCCAATTTAGCAGTACTTTCGCCTTTCTCATTCAGCAAATCACAAAAAAAACCAAGTCACAAACACTCTACTCAAATTCTAAAATGAATATGTCAGCAAGCTGAAGAAGTGTACCAAAGAACTGCCCACTGACTTTAAAGTCTCATGGTCCCAAAATGAGTACTGCTTCAAAAGATTTTTGTCTAAAAAAAACTTGCTTCATGGAATGAAGCTATATTTTTAATGAAATTTAAAGGATGGACCCCAGGCCCCACAGAACCAGCCGGACAATCATATGAGGAGGTAAATTGGGCATTAATCACATTTTGGTGACAAAGAGTGGAGCCTGCACTTGGTACTTGCAGAGGCCCTATGCTTAGCATATTTGCCTCCCAACGCAGTGGTCAAACGAATAAATGGTTTGCCAATTGTGCAGCGCCCACCGGCTATTTTTAATGAAACTTACCCCCAAGCACCCCTTGTTTTGCCAATTGTGCAGCGCCCACCGGCTATTTTAATGAAACTTACCCCAAAAAAGATAACAAACAAGTTAACTAAGATTCCCTCAAACTGTCAAACTAATAAATGGTTTTTTAGAATGTAAATAGGATTGCATGCCTTTTAATAGTTGTACCTTCCCAAAAACAAGTTGTACCTTGAAAAACATGAGTTTATTAGGGACGGAAAACGGACTACATTATTATAGATTTCAAGTGCTTTTTAAACCCAACACATTATATTATGAAAAGGACAGTATATATGAAAATTTGCTTAAACTAATTACGTGATAACCAATGCACAAATGGTTTAACTTCAACACGCAATGATGATTTTTAAACAAGATGGCATACTTTACCTAGGTTCCCAACCAAGCACTTCTGCCATTCCAACAAACGACAAAAGAAATGGAGGTCCTATTTTTGCTGCTTGGATTGCAAGTTCCCTGTGACCAATATGAAGTGCCTCAAACTTACCCAAAGCGACTATCCCACCTATGGAAGAAAAGGTACGTTAAGGACTACATAAAGAAAAGAGCTAATAGTAAAAAATTATTTGACTGACTATGTTGAAAAGAATAAAATAAAAAGACAACAAACCTCAACCCCTGTGTCAAGGCTGCCTTAAAAATCACAATGGTATTATACAACAAAAACAACCTACCCAGTGAAATATTACGAAATGGGGTCTATTGGGGGGGGATGTACGCAGGCGTTACACCTACCTAAAGAGGTAATATACACGTGATGAAATGAAACATAGCATTCTAGAATGTGAAAGAACTTGAACAAACCTGCAACGGAAGGTAGTCTTTCTTGTGGAGGCTCCTCACCTTCTTCTGATTGACTTCATAAGAAAAATGAAAGAAAACGTCGTTGAAGTATGAGGAAAATGAGAATCATTAATAGAGCTAAATTGACCATTAACAAACTTGACATTTTCAAAATTAAGCTAAATTGAGCTACACTGTGAAACATTTACTAAAACATACTTCAACACTTTCTTTCATAAGCATTCAAGTCAGCAATTTTTTTAAATAAAATTTATCCTCCACAATGGATTCCCATTCATATTTTTATACCAAATGAAACCCACTCTTATTTTCTAATCATTAAAGTACATGAATTTTCCTCATACAACCACAAGCTTGAGCTTATGGTTGAGTTGGTTCCTTGACATAATATCAGCCTTGTTGACTAAGAGGACACGGGTTCAAAACTCAGTGCTACGGTGCTACCCAACTTTAAAATGTTAAGGTTTCCTGTGCAAGGCTCGAAATGGCCACTGCTGCACGTGAGGTGGCGTGTTAGAATATAAAAACATTTTCTCCAGCCACGACCACAAGCTTGAGCTTTTGGTTGGGTTGGTTTCTTGATATGGTATCGCGGCCTTGATGACCAAAAGTTCAGTTCAAACCTCATTGCTACCCAATTCTAAAAGATTAATTCTCGCCTGCAAGGCTCGAGCAAAAATATATCTCGCGTGCACGTAAGGGGGCGTGTTAGAATATAAAACATATCCTAGGCCTACAACCACAAGCTTGAGCTTTTGGTTGAGTTGGTTTCTTGACAGTCACCCCATCATGGTTTATCAAAGGTTATCAAGTATAGGTAAAATCTACCACTTCTACAAACAACTTAACCAACAGACCCTACACTTGAGTGTGATGCTTTGTGCTTGTTAGGTTTGAAGTATTTTTTGAACCAATCACTCCTTAATAAACCAAAAT